TGACTTTTTTTTCCTGATGATCAGTTGTGCCACATGATTTATATTAGCTAGAAAGCAGGATTTAACTAATCTAAATCCCATGGCACAGCGGATCCCCCCCCCCCTGCTGTTTGCTTACCCGCCTGGATGTCATTTTGACGCTCTGTGCTACCAAACAGTAGCAAAGGTAAGTAAATTTCACCCCTGGACTGAGGGGAGTCATTTTGGTTAGGAGATACCATATCAGTATCCTTGGGAAAAGATTAATTGCCAGGACTATTTGTATTATTTCTGCTATTAAATTTATTAAGGATTTTAGAAATAGGGCAGAGCGCCTTGGGGACAATTTGCCAAGATCCAGGTGAAATATGGAGCTAATTCTGAGCCAGCTCCAAAGGAAACAAGGCAAAAGCTAAGGAAGTTCTGTTGCAAGGACACGATTACATCTATCTTACTCTTTGAATTTGGTTAAGTAAGACATACAGGACAGTAAATTCCATTGAACCCAATAAGTATGCAGTCATAATAAGCATGCTTGGTATTATAGTCAATTAGTCTCAGATATTTCACAGCTGCAATAAACATTCTGAATTTCAGCTAATGAAGACAAGACCAGTGTGTTGTTTACCAAAAAAAAAAAAGTTAAAAATTAGAGAGAGAAGAAGAGAAATTCATCTGAGGAATGTGAATGTTACTCTAGACTGTTTAATTAAATTGAGTTTAGGCACAAATTTTCTGATCCTAAAAATCACTGACATTTGTATAAAAAAAGCTGGTGCTTCAGAAAGAAGAGAATCTAGTACTGAAGCAAGAAAATTCAGAATCACTCTTCCCCACAATTTATTTTTGGAATTAGCTACATAATATTTACATGACAAAGTATATGTTTTCCTTCAAAGAAATAATTATTATTGAATGTAGTATGAGCCAATGTTAATTTGAATTATCTTTTTTGTTATTTCATTGTATTTTTGGAAAAAAATATAAGAGGTGGATAACACAATTGGATCAAATACAAGTGATGAAATTTGACTGGATAAACAACAAATCTAAAAAAGCAAAAAATGGCAAAACATTTCATATCCATTTTCTGTTGAATGTTGAGTTGAAAATGCTTGGTTAACTCAGTTGAAATCCTTAAATCCTTAAAAGAATCCTTTACACAATACATACATCAGTCCAGTAAATTCTACATCAAATTCTAAAACCCAAATTTTAGATGTGGCACAATTCTCTATATAAGATTATAATCCAAGAATGATTCCCAATGAGAATTAAATTCTATGATGTGTCTATTTATTTTTTAAACAGAGAGTTATTCTAAACATTGAGGAAAGTCCTACAATTTAGTTATCTTGACTACCAAAAGGGGAATCAAAGAACTTATCCAATAAAAGATATTTAAAACCTTACAGCCATTAACCTATACAATTTAATTTGGTGCATTTTGAAGGGATATACAGTTTAGGGAAATTTAGTCAAGATATCTTAGGTTGCAACGAGATTACAATTTTCAAAATTTGTTCCATTCTACATTAAATTATTTTCCAATACTGTTTAATGATACAGCAGATATGGTTTATATTAACCATACCCAGGATGGGAAACACTGTGATTAAAATGTATGGTCCAGTTTCTCATATATACTTTTTTCCAGAAAGGGTACATCTTCCATAGTAGGCAAAATCCTGATCCCAACTAGCATAATTAATTTACATGAACAATTTCCTAGAAAACCAACTTGTAATACTATAAAACCAGATGACTTTCAGAGGAAAAATACCCTGCTGATGTTAGCATGCTGGAAAAACTAACATTTCTCCCCATCTCACGACTGCCAAATTGCGTTGTTGTAATACAATATATACAAAGTCATGCCTGTACCGAGACTTCAAGATGAGCCCAAACTATGTTTTTTGCTTTCTTCTCCTCTCTTAGATGGAACTGCTGCAGATGCAGAACAAGGAACAGCCATGTCGAGTTTTCATAAGCAAGGAGTGAGACCACCAGAATGAAAAGAGAAAGCCAAAAGCCATATGACCAAAGTAAGCTTCAGAGGCAAAGCAAGTTCTCTCAAAGAGACTTGGTGTCAAAAAGAAGTTTCCATATAACCTACAACACACCAGGATTACGGAACTAAAGACCGCAGGAATAAGATGTATAATTAAAATTGTCATTACCATTACTTGGGGAGGCCGTTGGCTTCTCACGTCTAGGCATAGTGACTGTATTTCACAAGAGTGGTTGAGCTGCTGCCTGCATTGGCAATGATCAGGATAAGTAGCTCAAGATAAAGTGTCTCGCATATCAACATAGTTTTGTCTGCCAGTGAAAGGGTCCTACTGCAATTTCATTCTCTGAAATTGAAGAAGGGACTAATTTCCCTGGTCATTCATTTTTCATGAAAGTTTAGTTTATCATTTAAGGGCAGCATAGAAGGGTCAAGAGAGTTGAAGGGTTTCTCTCACCTTGTTTCTTTCCCACTCCCCTCGGACAGAATGAGAATACTACTTCTGCTACAGTAGGAAAGTTTCTAGAAGTTGGCATGGAAAAATGTAGCAAATGATACGGCTAAGAATTCATACAAGAAAGAATCAAAGGAACTCTGAAGGCATTTCCTCACTAGCATCTTATAGTGTCTTCTAGAGTTCTCCAGTCATTGTTGTGCCAAAATAAGAGCCCAGTAATTAGACAGGCTTCATATCACTTAAACAATAGCTGGATGATGCTGTAAAGACATTGTAAGTCACTAGTGATACAAGAATGACCCAGAATAAGTTAGAACAGTTTTTCTCAAGCTGATTTCTCATGAGGAGGGGAGAATATCATCACAGGGAAGCTTGAAGAAATATTATGATTTAAATATTAAGTCTTGGTGGACTGTGGCCATGGTTCATGGCCACAAAAGCAGTGGTGAAATTCGATTTGTTTTTACTAACGGTCATGTGGGCATGGCTTGGTGGGCATGGTGTGGCTTGGTGGGCATGGCTTGGTGGGCATGGCAGGGGAAGGATACCGCAAAATCTCCATTCCCACCCACAGGTGGCATTTGCCGGTTCTCCAAACTACTCAAAATTTTCACTACCGGTTCTTCAGAACCTGTCAGAACCTGCTGGATTTCACCCCTGCACAAAAGATATTTAAAGAGGGTCCCAGGTGAAGTAAAGGTTGAGAGCTACTGAGCTAGAAGATCATTCGTTATAATGATCTTTTTAATGGACTATATCTAGTCCAGCATAATGTCATAAATGCAGTACATAAAGATCAAAACAGGATTCCAGGCAGAGGTGGTATTCATTTACTTTCCCTAGTGGTTCACAAATGTAAGCGCATGCACCATGTCAGCACATGTGCTCAGCCTTCTGTGCATGCACTTTGACTAAAAAAGTGCCTAAATGAGATGCCAAAGAACCAAAGTGGGTGGGTGGGGCCACCTGCGATTTCTGTTACTGTGAACTGGTCCAAACCGGCAGAATACCACCTCTGATTCCAGGTTAGTGAAAGAGCAGATATTCTACATATATACAGAATGATTTAAAAAGAGCTATCGATGGAACTATTTTCCTAAAATCCAGTGATGTTATCTTAATTTGGTGCTCTCCAAAGGTACTGACATCGCAATCCAGAATTCCCAACTGGTAGCACATCTGTCGGGTTCTGAAAGGCTGCTTTGGGAATGCCACCAGACCAGGTAGGCAATATGGCAGAGATGCACAAATGTGTGGCTTCATTACAACTCTCAGATCTCTCAGCCATACTGGCAAAGCTGTTTAGAGTCATCTGCTACCAACATCTAGAGGATTACATATTCCCAATCCAGCAGTTTTCAGAGACAACAGCCCGACTCAATGTAAAACAGTTGACTGAGTTTCACTCCCCACAGAGAAGACTGGCAGTTTTGCATTCTTCCAGAGAGATTCAGAGCAAAGCCAGTGTATTCATGAAGCTGATCATGTTTAAACTGGGACAACACATTTACGATTCCTAAGTAACCTAAACAAGCATATTGAAACAGCAAAAGAGCCAAGTAAAATCAAAATTTTATTTGATTCATTTTGATTTTGCCAAAATAAACCTTTCCCCACCACCACCACAGGAAATAAAAAAATAGCAAACGGTAATAAAGGCAGGATATAAAAATGAATAAATAAATAAATAGCAAAATTAAAAGATCAATCTATTAAGAAAAAATATATTATAAATGCAAACATCTTAAAAATTAAAATAGTATATATTAGCAAAACAAAAAACAAAAAAGCCTGTTTCTCTCCAAAGTAAAGCAAAATTCAATTTCCCTAGTATTTGATAGGAGGCAAAAATGCAGTGTCAATCATCTTTATTTCATGCTGATGCATATTTTTGATAGCTGCCTTATAACTAAAATCTAAGTCCTATAGAAATGTACAGCATATTAATATCCAGTGACCGTCACTTGTGGAGTACAAACAGTTCTAAGGTTATACTTGCTCAAACCTTTCTTTCACCTCAAAGTAACCAAGACCACTTCTGGATTAGGCAAAAGAACATTAATTCCACTCTAGAAACAAATTAGCAACAATTCTCTAAATTGCAGAGTAGGTCCTGCAACCAGTTATACTATATCAGTGATGGCGAACCTTTTTGGCACCGAGTCCCCAAACCGGAATGCGTGCATGCACGCATACTGAAGCACTGGAATGCCAGAAATCTGAAGACCAGGTGACTGGTGCGCATGTGCATGCCAGCCAGCTGATCTTTGGTTTTTGGTGCAACCATCCGCCCTGGCCAGCTTGTCTTCAGGTTTTTGGCATCTGTGCCAGACAGCTGGTCTTCGTGCGAGTCGGAGCGCCAGAAATTAAAAGACCAGCTAGCCAGTGTGCATGCGTGTTCCAGCCAGCTGGTCTTCCAGTTTCAGCGCATGCATGTGCACCGGCCAGCTGATCCTCGGTTTTCCGGTGCTCTGGCACACACGAAGACCAGCTAGCCAGCCCTTACACGCACACCAGAAACTGGAAGACCAGCTGGCAATGGCATGCATGCCTGCAGAGAGGGCTCTACATGCCACCTCTGGCACGCGTGCCATAAGTTCACCATCATGGTACCATACCATAAATGCTCAATTTCTCTAGAGGATTGGGTTCTACCTTCCTGCCAGAATGTTCCTAGATGAAGTATAATAGCAGAAAACTAAAATGACAATTGACAGCCTGACAAAATATAGAATATAGAAAAGCATCTTTCTTTTCAAATTCAAAAGTGTGAG